AAATTCCCCTCTGATTCTCCACATCTTGCCCACGAATGCCAGATCTCAGCCTCTCACCTGGTGTCTCTGAAGGTTTTGAGCTGCTCTCTCCCCCACACATCCGCAGGCTGAAACCAGCTCCCTTGAAGTACCCTCCTCCCTTGAAGTGCACAACTGCCGAAGAATTACCTTATCTGTCACTACTCTACCTTCCCTGCTTTGCTCTTTCACAAGCTGCTGATTCACGGCTTTGGATTCAGGCAGGCAGTAACGCACAACCGAAAAGCCACATACTAGTAATTAAATACTTCAGATGTTTTCCCAGTTTGTTATAGGCTGCCAGCGAACAACAAAATGAGGACAGAACAGCCTTGGGAACGTCAAAGGTCCACAGTCTTCAATTTCACGCCTCTAACAGCGTCATTTCTGAGTGGGCCGGAGGCAGAAATTCAGCTCTCATCCTCCTGAACAAATCTCAGCTCAGCCCGTCCATCCATCTTGTCAGCACATTCTGTTTAGCTGCATCAGGTCAGAAATGGTTGGTCTTCCTTCCCTCTTCCCCCTCCACGCCTCAGGGAGATCAACACGTGAGGCCCCACTAGTGTCTGTATCTAGTTCTGACACAGCTTATGTGCTTGCATCCAGTGTTACTGAAATGATACCCATATATGCCATATTTATTAAGCCCTAGAGACCTAAAAAAGTGTTTTTAAGCTAAAGAGAGCTATATAAACCATACTAGGTTCAGGGGGAAAGAGGAAAGCTTTGTCATAAATGGATAGTTTCTAATGTAGAATTAAAGCAAAGCTCCTTGTGGTGTTCTTCACTGCTCCGATATGAGCAACCCAATATATTCCAGCAAACTGAATACAGAAAAGAGATCTTTTGACAGAACAAAGTAATTTATGTCATGACTGCTTTGTAGCAAACATTTATAGTGTGAGAAGTAGAGACAGGCAAAGCCTTCACATATAGTTGGCCTGCCCTCGCTGTTGTTTCATCCCAGTCTGACACTAATTATTTAAGCCATTCTAATATACACAGTTTCAAAGAACACTTTATTTATTCTGACAGGTTGTTTTCCTTAAATATCCACTGATCCAAACTACATTATTATAATTTGTAATATAAACTTTTAAACAGCAAAACCTCTTATTTAAGTAATAAACCTCATAAAGTTTTTATCAGCACTTATCTTTCTAAACCTCTTTTCCATAGCAGCCAACCTCCAAAACTACAACTCTGAATTACAAACGAAATAAAATGTTGCCACAGGTATATTATCAAGAATTTCTGTTAGTATCCACTTACTAGTTATAAATAAATTACTTACCTACAATTATGACCTCTTAACGTTTCTAGAATTCCAGGGAATAACCCAGCACTAGCTGATGTCAAACTACTCCAGCAGTCACAGCTCAAGAGGAGAAACTGTTTCCTCAGTAAGAATCACCACTCCTGTATTACTAGAGGTGGAGCTGGAAAAATGCTCATTAGCTAATATAGCATACCTCATTATTAACATTTGCTTTCAAAGATTAATTTCAGAGGCTCTCAAGAGGACTTGGCATTTCTGTACTACTTGTTACAGGACACAGATGCATGCTGGGGATGGAAATAATTTAGATAAAGAAGGTTTGAGCACATTAACATACAACCCATGTCCAACATTCTTGGTTTAAAATTCTCCAGTTCGGCAACATCTCTTCCCTCCCAACACAAGCAACAGCTCACTGACCTGTCTTTCAATTGTATTGACTTCTGGCATCCCCATGGAGTTACTTTGCAAAACTTTCTCTTCTTTCTGCAAGTTACTGCTTGCTTCTACCGGAGATCCTGCTCTGGGTTTTTCACCGATAATCAGTAGTTCAGGCACATCACGAGCTGCCTGCCGCTTACGAATAGACACCAGGGTTATGTTTTTGTTGTTTAAAGTAGCTAAGCAGGACAGTTCCCTTCTTATTTTACTCTCCCCTTTCCTCTCCATTATCTTTGCAGGCTTTAAATATTGCAACGCCAAAGGAAAGCTTGAGGAGAGCAGTTAGGCAGCGTGCCTTATCAGCAACTCTTCTTTCAGCTGCAACGGCCTGGGGAGCTCTGCCCGCCTCATCAGCGTGCTCATTAGGCATTCCTAATGAAATCCCAGATGTAACCTGTGATCTTTGTGTACGCTGCACTCAGCTACCTCCTCGGCCTGCCAGCCCAAACGCTCCCCACCAATTGGCAGCCCTCGCGCTTACCAAACCGCAGTCAGCGCCGCTCGGCTTTGCGCACGGCATCGCGGGCAGCTCAGCCAAGGCTGCCTTTCACAAGCTGCTCAAACATGACCTGTGTGCAGCCAGCCGGTGCATAATTAACTCAGACACCCAGGCATTAGCTCCTTGTGGCCACGGGCACTACCACAGCTCCTGCAAAGGGCAACGCTGCTACTCCGCTTCCCTTTTCCATGAAGTGACCTGGGATTTTTTGGATTTTTGTCCAGGAAATGGTCCCTTCTAACACTTTAAGCGTGCTTATGATAGCTAAGATTCCTAGGCTGAAGGTCTTTCATTTATTTAGGGTACAAGGACGGTTGTTCCTGGTTTCAAAAGGGAAAAGAAAAAGACTGAGTGCAATACTGACGCTTTTTAAAGCACAGCTCTTCACCATCCCCAAGCTTAACTAAAAATAAACAAACAAACAGAAAGCTAACCCAGCAATTAGTGCCATGAAGAAGAGAAAAAAAGAAAAACTAAAATAAATTAAAAAAAAAAAAAGTATTCCCTCTGGCAAACCCCTTAGATCCTTTCATCAGTTCCAGGAATGTCTAATTAGACAGCCATATGATAGGCACCATCGCTAGAAGTGTGTAGAGCCAAGCTGGATGCATTTCCCTGGGGCTGCCTGCCCCAAATTCACAGCGCTGTTCTAACCTGGTGAGCGGGACCTCGAGTTCCCTGAGCATCCAGCAGTGCAGTCCACTTCTAAAGGAACCCCTAAACAGGCACCTAAAGACTGGCCATGAAGGGAAATTACACCATACAGTCAGTGTGTCAGCAAATCACACCCCCCAACTATGCACTGACCTCACTGTGCAGGCAAGCCTTAAAATAATTATTTTATTTTTTATCAGAAATGCTTGGATTTGAAAAGAAAATAAATCACTAAATGTACTCCCATGCAGAGACCAGCACACAGGATGGAAGTCTCGGCACAGCTCAGTCACGGCAAAGAAACCTGAGGACACGCATGGCACTCCAGCTGTCTGGCAGGACGAAGTCACATTCCTTTTACTTTTTTCCCTTGACATCTCTCACACCCCTGCTCACACCACGCAACAGTTGAGAGTTCAGAATCCTCTTTAGAAAAGGAAGGTCTTCTGCCAACGAAGTGAAAACCAAAATACCACTATAGCATGACTGTGTGTCACTGCCTTAATACACAAGAACAGGGATAACATGAAACTGGAAAAAGAAAAGTGAATCTGAAAACGTTTTGAGAAATGGCACTTCAAAAGAGTTTTACAAGCATGTGATGATGCCAGTACAATTTAGGACAGGTCCAAGAGAAGCTTCCTTAGCTACGAGGTCCGTGAGGGAACACCCCACAGAAGCTCTTTCTCTACTCCTCGTTCTCTCCCAAGTGACTGCAGAGACCCAACCCATATAATGTTTCCAAAAAAAAGGAAAGAGGTCAGGAAAAAATCACTCCCATGTTAACAAAGCCAGGTGACCATCCTTGGGACCGTGCCTGGGAGGTGGGCTCCCCAAGCAGTTTGTCAGGTGCCCAGCTGGCAGCGTGGAGGTGGCTCTCAGAGGAGCCTCTAGCAGGGTCACGTACGGTATTACCTTAGCTCAGAAGTGGGGGCTGGAAACCATCACAGGCTGCTGGCTTTTACTCAAAAGGAACTTTCCCTTTTCCAAGAGTCCATTTTTTATCTTTCTAAGGCAAACCAACACTCCGATCCCAAACCAAAGATGCTGAGAAACTCAGCTCTCAGTACCAGAGCTGATTTCTGTTCCAAATAATGGAAAATTCAAATTCTAGAATATCTTAGGGAACACGAATTGCAGTTTCTGGCCAGCTCTAAGGTAAAAACTCAGTCCACTCACCTCAGATAGTATCTTTATTATTCAAAATAGCCCAAACCCCTACCTGGCGTGTTGCTACAAGTGACTAATACTCATGAGATATCATGTGATGAAGCTTGCTGTCTGAGGTTCACCCCAGGCTGAGGTTTAACTTCAGCTGAAGGAATAAAGAGTAAGTCTTCTCCCCGCCTCCCATCCATCCAACTTCTGAGCAATTCTACGGTAAAAATCTTTGCTTGTTCCTAGAAGTAGTGGAAACAAGTTCTTACTTAATGCCCTCATGGTCCTCCTCCTTCAGCAGTGCTGAATGCTGACTTGGAGCTCGAGGAGAAGCACATGAAATTGTGTTTTGAACACCTTCACAATGTATTTATATATAAAGTTATATATAATATATATACGCTTTTACGAGGTGTTTACCTACATTAAAAAGAATTATTTTGCTGGGAGGAGAGGACAGTTTCCTATAGCTCTTCAGATGAACGGGGTGTAAGATGTATTTCAACACGGCTGACTGATGTGGAGCATCACATTTAGTGGGCTCCAGCAGAGATCTGTGAAAATGGTGACTGAAACCCATGCAGCTGAGTTACCAGCAGCAGCTCCTGGACAAGCACTGCCATTCACAAAGCAGAAACACCCAAGCATCTTGTAAAACAAAACCCAATTTCAAAGTACCTTAACAGAGCAGGCTGAAAGCTCAGAGGCCCTGCCCAATCCCACCCTCTCCACAACTCTCGTGGCCCAGGAGCCAGTTCAGAGGGATGCGAGGTGGCACCCTGAGGGCAGCAACATCTGCTGGAGGAGCAAGGCAGCTGCTTGGAGTTACCCATCCAAATTGTTTTCCCCATTCCGGCTCCATTAATTGCCCCTTTGGAGCTGATGCTAACTGTGTCAGCTGCTAACATTTTACTGAGGGCTGAAGGAAGGAAGGAGCTGGTGCCTGTCTCACCTGGTAACAACAAGGTGCCCTGGTTGGAGGCTAGATGTTGCACAGCTGAGGAGCTTTACCAGGAAAAAATCACTCAGGAGTGGTAGGATGGGATTTAGATGGCAAATACAAAATCTGGCTGCTGCTTTTGCAGCTCTCTGCTAATGCTGGAGGAGATATTTTCATCGTCATTCAGGAAAATACAGAACATACCAAGAAGATTAAATCCCTTTGACTTAAATCTCATAAAACTCAGCTCATAAAACATGTTTTCCCCTTTATGCTACTTGCTACCACCACAGAGTGTATTAAACCCACAAAAAGTACACGTCTTTGTGTAAATTACGCTTCCTGGGTGCATTCATCCCTGGCTTTATAGGATGACTTGTCCTGTGCCTAATCCCCCTGCCTTCTTGTCCAAAGCAAGCATGTTAAAATGTTCTTAACAATGCCTCGAAAGATGAGAAGCTTGGGAGCAAGTTAAAAATCAGTGGCCTGGAGGTAAGGGGGTCATATTGCCTTCACCTGGCGGGCACACAAGAGGAACTGGTTCAGATACCTGAACAGCATAAAGTATAAAAACAGGCTTCAGTATTTACACTAAACTAGAAAGCCAGTCTGCTTTGAATGTAAAAATAACATTTTTCTACTCTCCTCATCAGATGCAAAGCTCCTACAAACATTACAACCCAGCCAGAGTGTGAAACAGAACAATTTCTCCTCCCTCAGCACCCTCTTTAAGGCAAAAGAGGAGTACTGATTAAATGTGTGCACCACTTCTTCAAGCAAGCCCCTGCTCTTGCCCAGCAGCCACTTTCGGCCGGCCGAAGCAACAGCTGCAGCTGAAAGTTCAACAGAAGCTTGCTCACATTCATGGTGCACAGCCACGTCCTTGACTGTTCTGAACTGACACTGTTATTACAGGAGGAAAAAAAAAAGAAAAGAAAAAAAGACCTTTTTATAATTTAAGAGGGAAAAAACTAGTCAACTTTCCCTCTTCAATGGCATTTTCTTGCAGTTTTGAGCCATGAAATTAGAAAGATTGGCTACAATGTCCTAGGAAGGCTGGCAGCCATCAGGTATTTCTATAGGGTCAATGGTATTCAGATTCCTCTCAACAGGTAAGGGAGCGTGATCACACGTAATAGCATTTCTCAGGCTGCAAGGAAAAAAAGGAAACCTTTCAAAACTCTGAAAAACAAGGAATCAAATTCCTACCTGCCATGAATAAAATTGCTTAAGAGTTGATGACCTCATTGCAAATCAGATCAGCTCAGACTTTGGCTTCAGCTTTTCAGGAAGCAGACTCAATCTTCTCTAAATATTTAAAAACGGTTGTTTGCTCTCAACCGGCAGGACTCGGCGGTGAATCTCTTTTGTGGCAGGGCCCAAAAACGCAGCCTCATTTTTTCACTCCGCGGCTCCTTCACGACCGCAAATTGCGTGGACTTGGTACTTTGTCTGCTTTTAGCAGCGTTGATTTCAGCATGATCATTTCTGTTATCTGTATTTATACTGCAGGAATTTGTTTTCAAGTGCCTGGAAACTACCAGGCTGATCATATTACCCCCGGAAAAGGCACACCTTTTGGGTCAGAGTGCAAAGAACAGTTGCCATCGGGCTGAATTAATTCCAGTCCCGCTCCCCAGCAACATTCGGTCGTGTAGCAGGCGTGTGGCACCTCGTCGGGTGGTGGTGGCACGAGTGTGGCAGAACTACAAACCCAGGATTTGCACTGCTGTGTTCCCACTGCTCTCCATTCTGATGTTGTCTGTGCTGCACCCAGCTCAGAGCCAGGTTTTGGTTGTAAAATTCAAGCAAAAGCCTTTCTCAACTCCACTCAGAGAAAAAGAACCTGCATTTTTTCCACCTCTACTGCAATATTTTAAATACAGCCTGAGAACAAGTAACACTACAAAAGGAACAATTTTAGAAGGCTAATTTGAGACGACAAAAAGACCTGTTTAGTACCCATGAACTGTATCAGTCACTGCTAAAGATCATAGCTTTTGCCAGCTAGCTTGGCTCTCTACATTTAGAAATAAGCCTCAAGTTCTCAATTTTAGTTTTGCTTCGTAAATTTCCTAGTATTTTTGTGGGTTTTTAAAAATACCTTCTACATTTGTTTGCAATCAATACTGAGTCTCTGAACTGTGATTTAAGTAACTGGGAAGACTGAGGGGTTTATTGTTTTGTTTTGTTTTGAAGTAAGCTACTGTTGACCTTGTTGCAGGCCCTCTCAAATCTTCAATTAATTTTTGCCCTGTACAGATCAGGAATGTAAGCCTACATCTTCAGTGCCATTCATCTCTATTAACATCCTCTAAATCTGTCCCTGACGGTGGAGCCCACAATTTAATGTACTTATTAGTTCCTTCCCAGCACTTATTTCCAGTCCTTCTTGTGGTCACGTTTGACAGGCTGAGATTTCAGCTTGATGAGCCGCCTGACACTGTGTAAAGAACACAAAGCACATCATATTTGTAAAGCATTAATAACATAAAGGAAAGGAGAGGGAGAGGGGAAAAGACACCAACTTGGATTTGAGCCTGTATTTCTGGTTCTGCAGCTGGTGTTTAATCCCAAGTCCAACTGCTCAGCCTTTGAATAGGAGCTCGTTTCATCACCTTCACTTCAAGAAAGAGACAAAGCCCTCTCGCCCTCTCCCTGTGGGCTGGTTGCTGTTACTGGGTAGAAAAATGTAAGAGGGTTTGGGGACCTCTCAGACCCCAGGTGACCCTGCTGGCAGGGGATCATGAGGACAGGGCTGCAGTGTGACCCAGGCCAGCACAGAGGCCCTGCTCGTTTTGGATCCTCCCGAACTGCAGCTCTGCCCTTCGGCAGCTTTTTCTCCCCGACCTGGAGATCAGAGAGCTGCCAGCCCTCTGTCTGGCTCCCTGCACCCTGGCAGGTGAGAAGCGAAGAGGGCAACTTCTGATGAGGACACTACAGGCACACAGGGGCACTGGGAAGTCCAAACCATAACACGTGAGCTGCTGTTTAGCTAACCTATTTACGCTGTCCTCCTGCAAAACTCCTATTTGCTCTTCAGGGCCAGGAAGAGCACTGCACTGCCCAGGTCTAATGCCCGGCGTGAGCGTGCTGCCAGCTCGCGGTCAGCAGCCCCAGGCAGGGAGGTCACGGCTCCTACCAGTGGACAATTTGTACTTCCACAGGTGACCATGAGAACACGCAGCCTTGGCCTCGATAGAGCGACACTGACCTGCTGCAGAGGCTCATAGAAACTATGAGGGAAGATCAAGATGAAAAGATGCTTGCTGTTATTTATTTTCTCTGCTGGAATACCTGATAATTCTGTAATTATCTGATGATAATTCTGTCCAGTAACAAGTGGCAGCCTACGAGACACAGCGAGGAAGAACAGAGGTGGAAAAGTCATAGATAACGTGGCACTGAGGGAGGGATGTCACACAGCAAGGCAACTGCTACTGATTTTAAGCTCTCTTTTCAACTCAAACACATGCTTCAAAAAACATGTGAAGGCAACAGCAACAGAGCAAACCTCTTTCTGTTTACAAAAAAAAAAAATGTATCTGAAAGATGTAACACCTGGACTGAAAGGCGCAGTTAAAACCCTGCTTTGAAATGCACACAGCGTTTCTCAGGTTGTTTTCTCTGGTATATGCACTTGGCTCTTCAAAACTGCCTGTGGAAGTGGTGCTTATTGACTGCGTGAGCACCCAGAGGAAACTGAACATGTTGGAGTCCTAAAAAAAATAAAAGAGCTCACGGGAGCTCGTTTTGTGACATAAAACGCTTTCAGCCAGCGAGATGGATGGTGTTCCCAGCTCTCAGCCACCTTGTCATTTCCAGAGCTCACCTCAGTCTGCTCTACAGAAAAAGGATGTTTCCTCCAAGGACACTTTTAGGCAAAACTGATGCGTTCTGCAGCTCGGTGTAAAAGAAGGTAACCGTCCTGGGAGTTGCCAGGCAACCTGCTGAGATTTATTCACTGCCCTCAATTCCTAGGAAGCAGAGATGCCAATCCATGGAAATTCAGGGTCAATTGATTTATTATTCCCTCCTCTTACCTCTGCACGTTGAAAGAAAAGGTACCGCGTCAGGGAAGGACTTTTAAGCAGCCCTAGTTCACTCCCCAGAAGAGAATCTCTGAATCTGCGCCATGGGAAAATTGCCACCCCTTCCAACTTCCTTTATCCCCAGAACAGAAAAAGGTCAGAGGAGGCGGCAAGGCACAGTGCCTGCATTTCTCCTGTAATTCTCTTCTGTCCCGCTCCGCAGCCAGTTTCTGGCTATTTTCTCTTCCCTGATCTGTGCCAACGAGCCAGACATGAGCACAGAATGCAAATCCTGACTCGTCCTGGATCCGCATGAAACAGTTTGGGTTTGCACCCAAACAGTTCTCCCCCCTGCCTCCTGAACCAGGCAGAGGGACGTGCACACAAACGCATGTGCACAAACACATCCTGAACAAGCCAGGACAGGGTTTTAGTTCTTCAGTCTGTGAACCCTTTAAAGTGTGATGATAGGGCTGAAAAGATAAATAAATAGAGACTCAGTGAAGCTGTGCATCTTCCTGAGTGGTTTCATAGTTGATTTAAACACATATAAGTTGATTTTCTTTTCAGTTGATAAGTTTTGCAGATTTTTGAGCATTTACTGCTGTGAGAGAGAGGATCCTTCACGGTCTCCTTCACGTCCTGACTAGGTGCATATGGCCACAGAGACATTAGTATCTGCATAAGGGGGGGAGGAAAGAGATGGGGGTTTAGGTCTGCTATCACAGACACTCCGAAATACTCCACAGCCTCTCAGGAACCCAAAAGTCCAGCTGGAAAGGCTGGGACTTAAAGTGAGCTTCCGTGTCCCTTTGCAAGCTCAGGGATGTCACTGGTAGGGCTACAACAGTTACCAGCTCATTTCTCCCTGTGCTCTGAGTTGCTGGGACGTTTCCTTCACCTGCCCTGAAAATGTCAGACATTTTTCCTGCTGCTGGCTGTTTAGGAGAACTGACAGGAGGCCATGGGAAGCTAAAACACCGGCCCAGTGTACAGAACTGAACTCCAACAGTGGAATCGATTTGTTTTCCTACGCAGTCCTTGCCCAACTGGGACAACTTGTGTGAAAATAATTTTCTATTAATCAAAACCAGTGGGTTCCAGCAGCTGGAAGTTTCCTGGTGATGCAAATAAAGGTATTTCATAGGAACTCTTGCAAAAATTCTCTGTAGATTCAAGCTGCTTAATACTTAATGTTTTTGCAATTCTCCATTGCTTCTGTCAAAAAAAAAGTATTAAAAAAAGGGCAGTTTTTGCTCACAAACACACAGTGCAGGCATCCACGCCCTGGAACATCTAGCTAAAAAGCAAAGCTGACAGAAAAAAAAAATCCTAGAATTGTTTGTAGTTTGCAACTTTAATATTATAACGTATCAGTAAAAACAACCCCATGGTGTTTTGCCCTAAATGTATATATGCCACAATTTATTTCCAATACTTGTTTTTTGCTTCATGGATGTTCAGTACAACTTTATTTCTGCCTCCTGTTACTACGCAACGAAGAACATTTCACAACATTTCAAAACCTAACACAACAAACATGCAAAAAAAAGGAGAAACTTACTGTGTGTATGAACGATACAAGACTCCTCCTGCTAAAAACAGTCCCCAGCATTTTGGCAGCTACGAGAGAGAAACTTGTATGAGAAACTCGGTGCCACACAGGGTGTACTCCAGAAAGAAAGTAACCGACTGTACAAGAAGGTATAAAAAAAACACATGACTGTCATATGAATATCCTTACACAATATTAATCCAGTTTCTTTGTGTTTATTATTTGCCAGTGGTCTAATTTTAGCAACTTTCTTGTATGTGGAGCACTCACTATGAATGAGAGTTACAAAGATGTACTTAAAAACTACCTCCAATGCCTCACAGGCTTGAGGAGAACACATTGTGAGTGGATTCTGCTGTTTGTTTTGAACACTGCTTACTTGTTTGCACTGATCTTCCTTCAGAGTGAGGACCTTAATCAGGAAAGCAATTAAAACAGGACAAAAGTGCTTACAGAGGCTGCAAAAGATGAAAAACTCGGTACATCTCTGAGCAGGTGAGCACAAAGCCAACGTCATGACAAGGCTCGTTTCATTTCTTTGGCCTGTCAGTCACGTGGAATTTCTACAGACAAGATGTTTAATAGCATTCCCCCTGCTGGAGCAGGAACGCTACAGGCAGCTCAGCACTGCTCTTGCTGACGTTATTGGCAATACCTTAAATGCATTCACCCAGTATCTGCTGCTACGTATGCATTAAGGTGGGGAAGTTGTGAAGTGATGACAACCCAGTTAGTCTGCGTTGGATATTCACACATTAAAGGCACCCTTTGCAGTCTGTAAGGCTGTCAGCAACACAGTTTTCACATTGCTCACATCAAAAGCTGAATACCCTGTGATTAAAAAAAAAACAAAAAAAAAAAAAAAAAACTTTGAAAGTATTAATACAGCTTGTCTTTAATTACCACTGTAAGGACTACAGAAAAAATAGAACAGATCAGCGGAGCAGAGCACCTCTCCTGTGAGCAGAGGCCGGGAGAGCTGAGACTGCTCAGCCTGGAGAAGAGGAGGCTCAGGGGGATCTCCCCCAGGGCTGGGAATCCCCGCAGGGAGGGGGCAAAGAGGCCGCAGCCAGGCTCTGTTCAGGGGTGCCCAGCGCCAGGCCAGGGGCAGTGGGCACCAAGGGGCAGGCAGGAGGCTCCCTCTGAGCACCAGGCAGCACTTCTGTGCTGGGTGGGCAGCTGAGTACTGACATCGTGTTTCCTGGATTATTCCACATGGAAGTACCCATCACAAAACAAGTGCACATTATAAGAAAAAGGGCCATGAAGATTTAATAAAAAAAATCATCAGAGAGAGCTTCTCCTGCCAAAACAATTCCTCTGGCCTATCTGTTGTTTGCCTTGGGAGCAAAAGCAAGACACAAACAGTTCTATGAATACTTTGCTCTTGAACTGTCACCAGGAAAATTATGTGACTGTAGAGGTTTTGTAGCGCTAAAGCTGGCCAGTCGATCTGCATCCGTGCAAAAATTTCAATTTTTCTGGGAAGTGCCAGACCGACGTCCCACAGTGGCGATGCTGTGCACAAAGCACGCCTGGCTGTCCAGCTCCCTGAACAAACTCTGAGGCTCTCCCTGCTGGAAGAGTTCACGCACTGCAAATTCAGTTCACTGCCACAAGGCAGCTGTTTCTGCTGTGCCTGTGGAGATCAGTCTTTTTCTTCCATTTGCCAAAATGCACAAACATATACATTCCTTAAGAGGAGATTTTGGGAACTCACAAAAAAGTGATTATACCATTTCAGGAAAAGCAAAAGCTAAAACATGCTCCCGACACTTAGGAATCCCTGAAGAAATGATACGCCTTGTGCTGGGAGCTCTGTGGGTTAAATCCTCATTTCTTCCTCCCACTACCACTAACCTTGCAATGAGCCTTGACTGGAAAGAACAAGTTTCACTTTTCTAGCCATATGAAGGCAAAGGTGTCTGATGACTG